GATATTTTTGGTTTTTAATCGTTAGTGTGTCATAGGCTTTCAGGTGATTGTTTTATTTTTAGTTTTCCCTTAGTGGTTATCATTAATTCCGTTCATTCTTTGGTTTCATTCTATTTATTGAAATTTAAAATCCTTTCATATAGAATAGTTAAAGATGCTGAATGCTAGTAGATCATTTCATTGTTCTCTGTTGTTCTATGTATTCTCTAGCTTTATCAATTGATGCTTATAATCATTGCTATGTTTAAGGTGTGTACAACATGTGATTATGTTCTCTTAATTCAATGTGTTTAGTTTAATATTAGATTCTATGCATTTGTGCTTGTCTGCACCCCATGTGGGCCCCACCTATTGAACCTAGGAGAGAGGTGCCTAACCCCTTCCCTCCCCATTTGAGTCTTACCCGAACTAGTTTAGCCAGTGCTTCAAACTTTGGAGTCACTAATAAATCAAATCGTTTTTAAATGTAAATCCCAGAGGTCCCATCACCTCCATTTCCTAAATTAATGGGTGGTGACTCCAAATCTAGCCTAACTGAGTCATTTTTCTGACACTCCAAATGACTAAGGCACATGAATCTCGAAGAGTCATACACCTACTTGCCTTTTGGCTAAGGCAAAGAACCTCTAGGACCTCGGCCACAGTACCGACCCGTGACATCGGCTTACTACCTAATGCAAACTAAGGATAACAAACATGCTAAAATGAGCAACACTACTTCACTAAGTCAAAGGAACTCTGTGACCTCGGCCAGGCAATGCTTGCTAGGCCTCGGCTGAACGCAGGTCCATTTGCTAAGTTCCTAAGGAAAGGTAGGCCTGGTAGGCTAAGGCATTCGCCTCCTTTTCCTTCTCACCAAGGAAAGGGGCCCCTAGTCCTTGGCGGAAAAGCTCGACCTTGGCTTAACTACCTCGATAGGGAAGAAGGACAAGATGGGTGAGCTAAGGCAATTGCTTCCCTTTCCCTCTCTCTAGGTAAAGGGTCCCTGAACCCTCGACAGCAAAGCTTGACCTAATAGCATGTTTTTTTTGCTACTTGTGACCTTTCGGGGGGGGGGGGGGAGCAATCGGCCGCAAGTGCAAAGAAAAAAAAAAGAAAAATAAGAAGGCACAAGATAGACAAAAAAACTTAATCTATTTTTCATTTGTTTGCACTATATGAGCTTTACAAAAAGTCAACCTTGGTTGGAGGAAGCCGAGCCCCTTACCAAAAATAGATAAGCAAAAACAAAAGGACAATCCAAAGCTATATGGGGAGAATAGACAAAAAAAGAATGAAACTCCTTAGACGAGACCTCGGCCCCATGCAAAGCATCCTCAAGCCTTAACGTCCACATGTTCGTTGGCTGCCTTAGATTGTGCAGGCTACTTATTGTCGACCTGGCCCTCGAAGGGCTACATTGCCTTAGCTGGCCCCGTGGCCTCGGATGCCTCGTCACTCCTGGACTGGACTGGACCCCTAGTAAGCTGATGTCAAAGTTTGGTTGAAGCACCAGCACTTGGGCCTTCGTGTCTTTATTGCCCTTCAAGTTGTAAGTAACGCTGAACTTGGCCATCTCGTCTTTATAGGCTTTGATGGTTTTCCACTCCTCAACAGCCTTAGCCGAGGCCTCCTAAGCCTTCTTTTCTGCCTTCTAGTGCTTCTCCCCAGTCTCGTTTAGAGAGACCCAGAGAGCCCTCACCTACTCCTTGGTTGAGACCTTGGCATTCATCTCCTTCCTACGGTTACGCTCCTCAGGTGTCGTTGCAATAGATGCCTCTTGGTCGCTTAGCACCTCGGTCAACTGACGCTTTAGCTTGTCGATCTCCTCCTAGGATGTCTTTAACTGCTAAAGGAGGACCTCCACCTTGTCGCATAGGCTGACGACAGTGGAAGATGTCTACAAGGGACAAACGATTGTTAGTCAAGAAAGCAAAGTAAAGAAGAAACTTGACCAAGTATAAGGAATAGAAGCCTCACCTTGGCCAACCAATCCAACAACATATCCTAGACCCCCTAGGTGGACACTTGGGTCTAGGATTTCCTGTCCCCTACTGAGAGAATCCCAATCACTAGGGCTCGACCGACCCCCTAGATGCTGAGGGAATCGCCCTCTAGGACGTTTTAGCTAGGGCTGAAGATTTTGTGACTCACTAGTGGCATGTCATTGCTGCGATTAGAAGAGTGGAGATCTGATTGCTGAGAGCTCCTAGTAGTTCCCTCGGCTTGTTAGTCCTTCATTGCTAGACTCTTCCCCCTTGGAGGTTGGGAGGCCTTGACATGTCTCTTGGGTGTTGCCACCCTTATCCTCTTGGCCTTGTTAGGCACCTTTGCTCGAGGTTGTTCCTTTGGGGCAGCCATCTCCTTTGGGGTAGGCCTCTTCGACGAGTCCTCGCCTGTGCCCCTCTTGGTGGACTTATCAATCTATGTGATGTGGTCTTTGATGCCACCATTCATCTCTAAAATACATAACATAACATGTTAGTACCAGGACAAGAGTAATCTGACATAAATAGCCAATGGCAAGAGTGCCCATACTGAGGCGAGTGGAGTTGAGACCAGCCCACACCAAGGCTTCCTCTACTATTAAGGGCTCAGTGCGAACTGCCCCCATCAACCGAACCTAGATCATCACGTTGGCCTCCTTGTGGTTATTATATGGTCGTATCCTCTCAGCCATGAGATCAGGCTTCCCCTAGTCAGACCTGAAAGGCCAACCCTTCAAACAGGACACAAAGAAATACTTCTTATTCTAGTTGTAGACGGATGACAGGTTGTCCACTACTTTACCTCGTTGGCCTTGGAAGTGGAATAAGCTGGCCCCAGTAGGATGCTTCCTCAAGGCAAACATGCATTGGAATATGTTCACGGTGACACATACACCTTGGAGGCAGGCCATCACTAACACAGCTATAATAGTCCTAACGACGCTGGGAGCTAACTGACAAAGGGAGATATTGCAGTAGTTAAGGAGCTCGAAGATGAGCGGAGGAAGGGAGAATTGGAGGTTGAAGTGGAGGTAGTGCTCATGCACACACACTTTCCCCTTGGCTGGCTAACACGGCTTGTCGTCGACGCTAGGGACTCTAAGCCTATAGCCCTGAGTAATATGGTACATTTTAGCAAAATCCCTTGCTCTTTGCTGAGTTCGCTGTCCAGATCGGAGCGTGGATAACGCATCGGCATTCCATCTTGGCGTTCAGCCTTAAGTAGCTCTTCAGGAGTGGGGTCTTCAGCCTCCTCTAACTCAACCACCTCAAGGTTTGGCAAGGCATTCCCCGTGACGTCGTCCCTCGGCCTCGTAAAGCTACTACTTTCATGGGGAGATTCCTTGCCGCCTTGCCAGCTACACTCAGCGCCTCCAGGGGCAGCCCTCTCCCTTAGTACCTAAACTTCAGGCACCTGAGGGGAGCTCTCGGGTTCACTGGTGGTATCCTCACTACTGGACAAGGTGGAATGGGGAGTGCTGGTGTTAGTAAGGTCAGGAGGTTCATAGCATTTAGGACCGGAGTCTGAGTATGACATGGTTCCAAGAGAAGTCCTTTATCTAATAAGCTGAGTTTGAGGAAGAAGGCTAAGGGTTTGGTTGGTTGGTGGCCGAGGTCTCTAGAGACTTAAGCGGAAGTGAGCAAATGGTAGGGAGCTACCTCAACCAAAAACCCTATTTAAAGGAAAACATATGGCTCAGATCTTTTCAATCCAACGGTTGTGGAATTGCTGGCTTGACAGCTCGAACTGATGCATGCCATGTGGTGTGGACCTTAGGAATGTGAAATGACACCGAAGGAATTAGCCAACCCGACTGATGATCCAAGTCAAGAACAACCCAAGTTGGGTGACCCACAACCTGCCTCACGCATGGACCCAACTAATCGGTGATTGATGCCCATTCCGCATAGGGATGCACAACAATGCCCATACAAAGCACATCCAATGAACGTGGATGTCTCATGCCCATGTCAGATATGGCCCTGTGCTCTCGACCCATTGAGATCCTCCAAGAGAAGAATAGAGAAGTCAACAAGGAAGCAATCTCCATAGGTTTACCTAGGGAAGCACTTAGCAGCCGAGGCTGATGCCTTTGCTCTGTCCTATGCCTCTAGAAGAGCACTGTAGCACTCTCTTCAGCTGAAGCCGAGGTCTCTGCTTAACACATCGCTTGACCTCATCCATCACGGCCTCAAGAGTGGGGGGCAAGTGACATAGATGCACATGGCAAGGCCCAAGATTGTGCCACATGGCATTAGTCAGATGAAATCCTGGCTGCCCATTCCCAACAACCTCTGACCACTCCATGGCAAGGTCAAGTATAAAAGGGGGTGCCCAGCTTAAGGTAAGAGGACCTTGCTCCTATTTGCTCTCAAGTGACTTCATTTGAGCCCTCGTCTCAAGCTTGCAGGTCCGATCCCTCTCAAGCACTTGACAACTTGATTGTCGGAGTCTCCACCCTTGGGATAACACCTGGGGCCTCTAACATGTGCTTTCTCCTTGCTCTCATGTTGGATACCTCGACCTCGGTCAAAAGCGAAGTTACCTTAATGCTCTTGGTCCCATCCTTGGCAGCAACAAATTTAATTACAGGTGTTCCCAATTCAATTAATCCGATTAAATTTGATCAAATATGGGTCCACCCCTATCCGATCGGATATGATCTGATTCAATCCTATTTAGACATCTATATATATTTGAATTATATTACTTATTAATAAAACTGGTTTGAAGGACGTAGTTTTACTGAAGACTGATGGGTTCAAGTTTCATAGAAGTATATTTAATTCCTTTTATTCTTGTTGTACAATATCAAATTCCTTTTTGGCTCATTTTTATTGATAATATATAATATTTTTGACAATTATAGTTTACTTTATCACTATTATTCCATATCTGTTTTCAATTCGAAATTGATGCATATTTAAAATTTAATAAATCAGAATTGGATTTAGGTATATCCAACTCAATCTGATTTATTTACATCACTAGCTGATCCAAATTATCAACAAATAGAATGTTTTAGTTGTTACCTGGAGCCATATATCCGATAGATCCTTTTACTGCAGATGACCCGCTAGTGTTGCAAGAAAAATTGTTGGTGCCTTCTGCAAGTAACCTTGCTGAACCAAAGTCGCTTACATGAGCAGTCAAATCATCATCAAGAAGAATGTTGCTTGGCTTCAAATCACAATGGATAATTGGTGTTTCACAGTGGTAATGCAGATAATCCAGTGCAGATGCCACATCAATTGCAATGTTCAGTCTCTGTAGAATGTTTGAAGTCTTGACTTCCTTGTGTAAATCTACGTCCGGATGCAACCATTTTTCTAGACTACCATTAGGCATAAATTCAAAAACCAGGGCCTTGAAATCGTTGCTTTTGGAATCCATGCTTGAGCATGAAGTTATAATTTTGACAATATTTCTATGCCGGATGTTTTTCAGTATGTTGCATTCAGCCATAAAGCTCTTCATCAAAGCCCTTGGTTGTTGAAGGCTAAATACCTTTATTGCTACAACTGTTTCACTTTCACCTCGATTGATGAGATTTCCTTTATAAACACAGCCAGAACCTCCTGAACCAATCAAATTAGCTTCTGAAAATCCATCAGTAGCTTGAAAAAGCTCAGTATAAGATACCTTCAATTGTCTATCTCCTATAGGGGGTGTAGGTGAAGATTCTCTCTTGGGTTTTCTTATCCAATAAAGAATGGACCAACTTAATATGAAAGAAAACACCACACTAACTACTACAACCAGTACCTTAAATCCAATAGGCTTTCCTCCTTTCATGGACGTGGAACAGCTCGGCAATTGCAATTCAGGAATACCACCACAAAGCCTACTATTCCCAACCACATTAATTTTGCTTAAATTTGCAAAGACCCCTTCTGTTGGTACCTCACCCTCAAGATTGTTTACGGACAGATCCAAACTCTCCAAAAAGGGAAGATTCTCAAATTCTTTTGGAATCAGTCCTGATAAGTTATTGAGTGAGAGATCAAGCACCTCAATAGCCCTCAATAAGCTCAAAGATGAAGGAATATTTCCATGGAAGAAATTGGCTCCCAAATAAAGATATCGCAAGCTACTACAAGCGCCTAAAGCAGCAGGAATTTCACCAGATAACTTATTTCCAAAGACAGCTAGTTGCTCAATGTATTTCAGCTTAACTACTTCCGGTGGTAGAGAGCCAGAGAGAGAGTTATGTTCCAAGTTGAGGTAAAACGTTAAAGAAGAAAGACCGATTAACTGTTTAGGTACAACACCTGTAAGCTTGTTATAAGAAAGGTTTAATTGTTGCAGAGAAATAGAATCACCTAGGCAAGAAGGAATTTTTCCATGAAGTCTGTTCTCCTCTAAATGGAGATTATACAAAGGAGTGATGTTGCATATTGAGGGTGGAATCTCTCCTACGAATCTGTTTCTTTGTAGAAACAAGACTTCAAGCTTCCTTAACTTTCCTATAGTAGGGGGAATGCTCCCTGTCAGAAAGTTGAACGACATGTCTAGATAATTTAAATTGATGAGATTCTCAATACCAACAGGGATGCTTCCAGAAATTTGGTTTCCATTCATGATGAGTCGAGTAAGCTGGGTCGAGAGATTAGTAATAGAGTTGGGAAATGGGCCTCTAAGATCATTCTCGTATAGTTCCAAATATGCTAAACTAGTACAATTGGTCAAAGAAGTGAGAAATCTCAAGTGATTAGCTTCCCTTGTTCCCAATCGATTTCCACCAATGTCTAGAGTACTGAGATATTGAAGATTACCAAGATTAGCAGGGACTGGTCCAAGAAAATTGTTTGAGGAGATATCAATAAGCGTAAGACCTGAAATATTGGAAAGGGACTGAGGAATTCGTCCAGTAAAATGGTTACAAGCAATACCAATCTGTTGGAGATTTGGAAGGGTGAGGTCTATATCAGCTGGAAGCCTCCCGTGCAATTGATTGGATGTAGCGTAAAACAATTCAATAGATGATATATTGTAAAATGAGCAAGGGAACGTACCCGAGAGCTTATTTTCATCAAAAACAACAGTTTTTAATCTTGTCATCTGGCCCATACTTTCCGGAATGTTTCCTTCCAAAGCATTATATGATATCCGAAGATCTTCGAGCGATGAAAGGTTTCCAAAAGAATGTGGAATCCGTCCGGTCAAAGAATTTTTGCTAAGAAACATCTGTGTAAGCTTAGACAAAGACCCAAGCTCATTGGGTATCCTTCCAGTGAGGTTGTTCTTTCTTATATCTAGCACTCTGAGGTCATGGCAGCGAGTCAAATTGGTAGGTATTTCTCCTTGTAAGAAATTGGTGGAGAGATTGAGGAATTGTAAGCGGAACAGGCGACCAATTTCTTGGGGGATTGTACCATGGAAACCATTGTTTGAGAGGTAGATACCTCGAAGAAAGGTGAGGTTTCCTATGTATGGAGGTAGAATTCCTTCCAAACGATTGTCACTTAAATCTAAGAAGGTAATCCTTTGGTGCTTACGACCACATGTAACGCCTTTCCACTTACAGAAATGGAGAGACTCGTTCCAAGAATTTAGAGCTCCCAAGGGATCGTAGATATGATTATTCTTGAACCCTAACAAGGCCAATCTATCGGTCTCGTTTCCTAAGCTGGTAGCAATGGTGAGGGTGGAAACTTCTAAACCCAACAAGCTTGCAAACAAGAGAAAGAAGACATAAATAGATAACCTAAGCAGACTTGAACTCATCTCTGAGACTTCTGTAATGACAAAGGTAGTCCTAATTAAGAAAACGCGCTCTAATACAAAGAGTTGGGAAGAGAATGTCTGGATCTGCTAAAAACAATAATTTGGCGGTACATTTAAAAAGAGCGGATTTTAGCGAAAAAAAAAGAAAAGAAAGAATAACCACATCAGCTATCCGATACACCAAAGTCCCCAACAACTGACGTCTCTGCTAAGTTGTTTGGAAAACAGCCCAGCTTGTTATAGTCCAAGCAACCAAGCTTCTCTTTTCGGTGGTTGGGTTTTGTCAACAGTGGCTTACGTCTTCTTTTGAGTAGAAGATAAAACACGGGAGCCAAGTCCCGCCCGCCAATACGGACATAGAAAAGAATGAAGAAATTAAAGCAAAACTAATTAGTGACGAGGTCCGAGCTAAGCTAACCAATGATAGTAACAATGTCCTAGTGGTTACAAAGAATTGGGATCTGCTACTCGTGCAGTGCGCCTCACAACGGCCTCACCAGCGTGCATTGAAAACATCTCCCGTAAAATAATAGAAGATGTTCTCAATACACATTGGGATGTAGGGGTATAAAGGGATCGAATTCAAATCGAATCAGGTAATATCTGAATTTGAATTCGATTAAAAAATCTAATACTCGAATTCGATTTGATATCCAATGGATATTGAAAATTAATATTTGAATTTGAATCCGATTAAATATTCAAATATTCGATTTGATTCGAATTAGACTAATTAATTATTTTAGATAATTAATAAATATATAAAATAAAAATTTTATTGATATAAAATATATAAATTAATTATTATATATAAAATATTTTATATAAGAATTAAATAATCGGTCAAATTTGGATATTTATCGAATCGAATCAGGTCATATCCGAATTCGAATCCGATTAACTATTTGGTATGAATAGAATATCTGAATTCGACCGATTAGATATTCGAATTATCTGAATTCGATTCGATTATATCAAATATCGAATTCAAAATCAGATTTTCGAATACCGTTTACACCCCTAGTGCGATGTGCCTGTGAGGTCAGTGTGAGGCGCCATGTGTGGGGATGTGCCTACAAAATTATTGCCATAGATATTTACTAGTGGATTATTGTGGAAGTACTTTTATGAAAACACTTTTATAAATATCTATGGCACGAAAGCACTTTAATAAAAATACTTTTATGAAAGAACTTTTACAAAAGTATTTTTATAAAACCACTTTTATGAAAGTAATTTTAAAAGCACTTTTATGAAAGTACTTTTATCAACGTATGTTTATGAAATCACTCTTATCAAAATACTTTTACAAAAGTAGTTTTACATAGGACACTTGTCAGTAGTATGAAAAGAATTCATTTTTAGGAAAAAAACATTTGATTCATAACAATATTTTCTCATTATGCCTATTTTTACCTATTCTTGTCCATTTTATAATTTCATCTTGGATAAGAATGAGAATTAAACCAAATATGGCCTTATTCCATCTCGATAACTTAGGTCAGGAGTATTCCTAACAAAGTGGCTCATCGCATAGGAGTCTGAATTCTCTTGCCCACAATAATTCTGCCCACGTCTATCCATATAACATCGCAGCCACACATGAAGAACATCTCATTCTCCTACATGGTATTATGCATGGGGAGATGTCCCCAATGCACAAGGGTAATATGTTATGGGCATAGTTCTTGTGGGCGGGAGATCCAGAGTCATAGCCATAGTGCCTTTGGCTTTATCTTATAAGAGACCGAGTACTTGCAAGTACATATTGTATCTTCTGATATTTTTGATCCGAGATAATTGAATTAGTGCAATTGCACTTCAAATAAAAAAAAGGGGGGAGGACCAATCTTCCCTTCTGCACTAATCAAAGAGTGAAAACAAAATATCTCCTCTACAACATTGCAACATGGATTGTGATTTTGTCTTTCTAGCTAGCATTTGCACAATTATTGGAACGTCTACAATATCCATGTCTTAACTCAAGCTGCCCATGCACTGATCCTAAATAAAAGACCACGTTGGCACCAATCCGGATTTGTATGCCATAATTAATTTATTATATATAATTTTTGCCTGCAAAATTAAAATTACGAAACCCAATTTCTAATTAAAGAGCTTGGGACTTGTAATTGTGTTTTTGTTGATTATCATTTACTTGGACACCCTCTATTGCCTTCTGTAGTGATCTGTTTGTAATGTTTTTGTTTGGAAATGGTGTGAACTCCTAAAACGATCTTGTATAAAATGTAAGAAGGCATGGACGCTTTTTTTTTTTTTATTCCAATATGAGCATTTTATATATGTATTCTCGTTTGATTAATTTGGTCGAATGGATGTTAGTGTCAAAAGCATCCTTAATTTCTCTGTATATTCCCATCTCGTTTGATTAATATATAATGATTTATTTACATCTAAAATGTCACAAAACAAATGGTCCGTCATCCCAGAAATGGTAATCGTAACTCGTAAGACAAATTTTGAGCTAAAGAGTGCCCCAACAATACACTTCCTAGCACTAAATAGGCAGTCAAAATACGAAAATAAGAAATGTGTAAATTACAACCAGTTCATGTGTCTTTTATATTGATTGAAACTTAAACCATTAAAGTATTTATTTCTTATATGTTTAAGATTTATGTAAGCTTCCCTATCTTATATATCTCATTCATTCAACCTTATACTATCATTCCCTAACGGTATTCGCAAGTCCCAATACATCTCTTTAATTTTCCTTTCTAAAACTTCTTGTAATATGGATATATATGTACTTTGAGCCGTTCTTGTAGCAACTAGTTAGCATATTAGATGGAATTGATAAGATTTAATTAGTGGAAATCAGCCTTGGGTTGTAGATAACTTTCTTATAGCTTTAATTAGTCAAAGAGATGATATAATGGATGAGACAAAAAAATTGTCCGACAAGATAAAGGGAAAACGTTAGATACATAGGACAAGTAAGCTCAGGCTCCAAATCATTGATTCTCAAATTTTTTTTCTTAGGCTCGGTTTGGAAGGAGTACAAAAACAAATAAGTAGAATGCAAAATCTGTGTTTATACTGTACATATTTATATTTGTACTCTTTCCAAACTAAGCCTTCATTATGTGGAGACTAGAAAAAAAAAAAGACAAAAATTAGAGACTTGAGATCGAGGGGGTCGGTTGATCACCCAAAGAGTCTTTGAGCAATATCTTTGGCAACCCACTATCAATTTTACTATTCAATCAGTTGCTTGGTTACTCAAACAATATTGTGCGAGAGAGGAAATAGATTAGAAGGGGGACCTTGGGTTGTGGATAACTTTCTTAAGCTTTAATTAGGTAGTGCATGTATGTCAAGAAAAATAACTATGAGACAAAAATTCGACTCCCAAGTCAAAGGAAAAGAAAGCTGTTAGATAGTTATGCCCTTAGCTCCAATCAGATTGTTGTATCTTTTGACATTTATCGTAAATGAATAAAGTACATAATTGGTTCATGTCATTATGTTGTATTTCTGTTTAATACCTTAAACTGGACACATATAAGACTTGTGTTAGTTTAAAATCTTAATAGTCGTTGAAAAGATTTGAGGAGATTTATCCTGCCAAGGCTAACATTGATGTACCACCATGTAGTGTGGGTTTTCTTGAAACCTTGAACCAGACTAAATTCTAGTATTGCCTTGGACCTTAGAGATAGATGGGCAAAACTTGAATGTTACACCTGACCCCTATACTCGATTATGGTATTACACTAGGTGTCAGATTTGACTGTCTTTGATATGTCAATCAATGAAATCCTTAGAGGGGTCAAAACTTGGGTATATTGGCACAGTTTGAGAATTCACCTAAGTGGGTGATTGAAATTTGTTTTTGCAAAATATATTTATATAGAGATACACACACACACACACACACACACACACATACACACACACACATATATTTTATGATTTTAAAATATTTGCAAAAGGTTTTAATTCCAATGATCCATATGAGTGGAGGGTGCAGCACTACATCTTGCAGCCGAGGGAGAGGTCATCTCTTGTTGGGTAGTGTTTGGTCATTATAGGCTGAGAGCTTAAGTGTGAGACCATTGAGAGTAATACCTGATGGTATAATCTTGCATTTGCTCACAGTTCTTGGGTTTTATAAGGTGGCTAGATCTAAGAACCATTTAATGTAAATGTTGGGCCCATTAAGAGCTCATGGTGATGGACAATCTCCAATAGTGAATTTGGCCAGGCCTTATAATAGAGGTTGGGCTGAACCCATGTGACTGATGTGTAAATCAATGTTAGGGTCCCATGCCATACAAAGAGAGCCAACTGGATAGTAGATTAAAGAGTAAGTGAGCACATAAGCTTAATAGGCCTAAGGTCCAATTCGATCTGGGCTTAGTTAATTAAAAGGGGGCGAATTCAGTTTTAAACTAATTAGGATTAGCTGAAGGATAATACAAGTCTTATCCATTTAAGAGTACAAATCCAGATATAAGATTTGGATTAGGAAACTCTCTCCTAATTAGATTAGGAGGTTGATCCAGAGAAGGCTATAAATAAGGGGTGAATTCTTCAGATTTAACACACACAACAACAAATTACAAATTTCTTCCCAGTTATTGCCACCTTACCCAGTTTAATCTCTACTTGTGAATTTGATCAAGAAGAGTTCTTGATATTGCTTATTGGTAGAAGAATAATCTGAAGTTGTGCTCACTAGTCCTTGCTCGATTCTTGCTAAAACATTCAGGTTCTTGCTAAAGAATCACATTGTTGATCCTGCTTTACTACACACTATGTCATCTTCAGTGGAAGCAGGTTTTGGTCTTTTCTTTGGGCGTGAACACTTGCATTGGGAGTTACTGCTACTTCGTATTAAGTATATCCCTCACTTCCTATTGGTTTTAAATTTAGTCCAATTTTGGATTCAATAACGAACATTAAAAATACAGTTTTCTAAATTAGGGAATGTGATTCTTGGATGGGAGTGAAAAAAAATTTTGAAATTTCGCCCA